TACTACTAGTTTAGGATGACATCATTGCACAAGGGTTTAAGAGCATGAAGAGAGAGGAGTTCCATGTTTTTCCTTTAGCATGTTAAGACTTGCCACCCAAACATCTCTATTAGTCCATAAGCATAAAATAGCTAAGATGTGATTATATCATGATTATCACTAAAGTAGTTTGGATATAAAGTTATGAGTTAAAATATTGTAAAGTAATTAAATCTTTCTTGTTTTTATTTCATGTGTTCAACAATATTTTAGTTGGCGAAATTGGGTACCTGGAACTTTCTATTTGGGCCCTACCTGTCAATTAAGAAAATTATATAATAAATTCCAAAAAGACTACCCAGTTGAACCCATGTTCGCCCTGTTTATGTTTCTAGGTTTGTCAGCACCATACCCGTGCTCGTGGGTTTCACCGAAGTGGTAAACGTCTAAGACCTGCATCACTTCGGGCTTTCCTCTCACAATATGCTGACACGCCGTGATATAACTGTAATACTGTTAAAAGCGGTGTTAAACCCAAATCACTCACTCACCCAAACTATGTGCCCTTTTGTTCAAATCAGTCAGTGAAATACAAGTAGCTTCTACAAAGCCATTAGTTATCACATGAATTGGGAAATTTGTAATTGTAATGTGGAATCTTAAGCTGTCATTTGCTACTGACATTGGGCTGAATATCAGGCTTTGAGCAAGTTTAGTTAAGTCTCTGATCATAGGTATATTGATAAATATACTACTCAAAAGAAGTTAAGGACCATCCAATTTTTTCATATTACTACAGTTAATCGGTCATGGCATGACAGATTAAGTATGGTTTAGACCCCGAGGATTCGATGTTTAATAACTAAAATGGTTTGTTAAACCTGGAGGCGCAGAGATTAAGATATTATAGATTAAGTATAGGTTAGACCACGAGGATCCGATGTTCAATCGTTGAAATGGTCAGTTAAACACTGAAGAACGGAGCCATCTCAGTGATTTAACACAAGATCCTTGTGGCCTAACCTATATATACCATGGCCTACATTCATAGCTCCTAAAATGCTTAAAAACATTGTTTTGTTAAAGGTATTTTGAAAGATATTCAGGAACTCTATTCTTAACTGTAAGAACACTGTGTGAGTCTGCCCTGCGTGAAGCACGTGAAATGTGTTCCCCGAGCCTTCCGCAAATGTACCTCGCCCTTTGTCGACTCGGGTTATAAAATGCATGTCCAGGGGCAAGTATACCATTCATTTTCGACCAACTCGAGCACATTTATCAATCACCTAAACAGTACTTGCCCGTTTTGTTGAACGTTAACCTACCAAATCACATGTACATACAATGCATCGAGAAACATAAAACATACTGCATAAAACACATGTTTTGCTGTTCATAAACGGATAAACTGTTATCTCTAATCTGTCTGATGCAAGTAAATATTTGGTTGTTAACTTCATACAATTTCTTCCATGTTGGTGTGGCAGAAGACTACATTCATTAACCTTTGTTGCGGACTTCGCAGGTTCAAATTCCCCTGGCGATGCACGTTTTTCAAGAAATTGTTCTATCATCAAGGTTAATAATAGCGATAAAAGGAGTTAACATAGTGCTATAATCTTTGACGCGACGTTAAACCCCATTTCACCTCACCTTGAATCTTTTGACATAAGGTTTATGACAAGGACTGCTTGAATTTAGTCTTGCTTATTTTTTATCAAAGTTAAGAAAGTGTTAAAAAAGCATTTCTCAGATGTGGCATCAATGTCAATTGATTTTCCAGCCAAACATACAGAGTATCTCATCTCGTTTTGAATAAATAATGACTGCTGAAGATTTGTGTAGCATGACAAGCATGGAGAAAGACATGGCTTGATTGCCAGTATTTTTAATGAAAACATGCTCAGTGAAACATGATACTGTCCTCATGCAATATATACCAATCATTGTGATAATATATTTGGTGGTCAATAGCATGCATTTTTAGATAGTTAGAAGAACTGAATGATATTTCAATGCCTTCAGTCGACCGCCTCCAAGGTCTTGTGGTAGAGCATCTGTCCGGAGAGCGAAGGTCCGGAGTTCGATCCTTGGCTGTGTCATACCAAAAGACGTGAAAAGATGGTCCTTGTTTTACCCTGTCTGGAGCTCGGCATTAAGGGGCTAAAACAAGGCACTGGTCGGCTCGGAGTCAGTATACTATGTCTGAGTGGGGTATTCATGTTAAACTGCGGCATGGTATCACAGTGAGCTAGCACTATAAATTGGCATGAGTCCAGACTAGTACAAGCCGATACACACACACGTGCATGCACGTAACTATATAAATGCAATAATCGCAACGTTAAACCCCATTTCACCTCACCTCACCTATGCCTTCAATTCTGGCTGTAACTATAATGATAGGACTTATAATGATGGTAACAATAAACTTAAAATTGAATACCTATCTCGATAGAAAGGTCACAGTACTATACACAGAAACCGTATATACTTTGTCAAGCTAAAGAAAACATTTTCATCCTCAAATGAATGAACTGGGATGTATTGGTTTAGTGGGGGTGGTCCGTATTGTTAGGTGTACTGGTTTAGTGGGGTATCCATATTGTGAGATGTACTGGTTTAGTGAGGGTTGTTCATATTGTGAGATGTACAAGTTTAGTGAGGGTGGTTCATATTGTAAGATCTATTGGTTTAGTGAGGGTGTCCAAATTGTGAGATGTACTGGTTTAGTGAGGGTGTCCATATTGTGAGATGTACTGGTTTAGTGAGGGTGGTTCATATTGTGAGATGTATTGGTTTAGTGAGGGTGGTTCATATTGTGAGATGTATTGGTTTAGTGAGGGTGTCCATATTGTGAGATGTACTAGTTTAGTGAGGGTGGTTCATATTGTGAGATGTATTGGTTTAGTGAGGGTGTCCATATTGTGAGATGTATTGGTTTAGAGAAGGTTTCCATATTGTGAGATGTACTAGTTTAGTGAGGGTGGTTCATATTGTGAGATGTATTGGTTTAGTGAGGGTGGTTCATATTGTGAGATGTATTGGTTTAGTGAAGGTGTCTATATTGTGAGATGTACTAGTTTAGTGAGGGTTGTTCATATTGTGAGATGTATTGGTTTAGTGAGGGTGTCCATATTGTGAGATGTATTGGTTTAGAGAAGGTTTCCATATTGTGAGATGTACTAGTTTAGTGAGGGTGGTTCATATTGTGAGATGTATTGGTTTAGTGAGGGTGGTTCATATTGTGAGATGTATTTGTTTAGTGAGGGTGTCCATATTGTGAGATGTACTAGTTTAGTGAGGGTGGTTCATATTGTGAGATGTATTGGTTTAGAGAAGGTGTCCATATTGTGAGATGTACTAGTTTAGTGAGGGTGGTTCATATTGTGAGATGTATTGGTTTAGTGAAGGTGTCTATATTGTGAGATGTACTAGTTTGGTGAGGGTTGTTCATATTGTGAGATGTATTGGTTTAGTGAGGGTGTCCATATTGTGAGATGTATTGGTTTAGTGACGGTGTCCATATTGTGAGATGTATTGGTTTAGTGAAGGTGTCCATATTGTGAGATGTATTGGTTTAGTGACGGTGTCCATATTGTGAGATGTATTGGTTTAGTGAAGGTGTCCATATTGTGAGATGTACTAGTTTAGTGAGGGTGGTTCATATTGTGAGATGTACTAGTTTAGTGAGGGTGTCCATATTGTGAGATGTATTGGTTTAGTGAAGGTGTCCATATTGTGAGATGTACTAGTTTAGTGAGGGTGGTTCATATTGTGAGATGTATTGGTTTAGTGAAGGTGTCCATATTGTGAGATGTATTGGTTTAGTGAAGGTGTCCATATTGTGAGATGTATTGGTTTAGTGAGGGTGGTTCATATTGTGAGATGTACTAGTTTAGTGAGGGTGGTTCATATTGTGAGATGTATTGGTTTAGTGAGGGTGTCCATATTGTGAGATGTATTGGTTTAGTGAAGGTGTCCATATTGTGAGATGTACTGGTTTAGTGAGGGTGGTTCATATTGTGAGATGTACTAGTTTAGTGAGGGTGTCCATATTGTGAGATGTACTAGTTTAGTGAGGGTGGTTCATATTGTGAGATGTACTAGTTTAGTGAGGGTGTCCATATTGTGAGATGTATTGGTTTAGTGAAGGTGTCCATATTGTGAGATCTACTGGTTTAGTGAGGGTGGTTCATATTGTGAGATGTACTAGTTTAGTGAGGGTGGTTCATATTGTGAGATGTATTGGTTTAGTGAGGGTGTCCATATTGTGAGATGTATTGGTTTAGTGAAGGTGTCCATATTGTGAGATGTACTGGTTTAGTGAGGATGGTTCATATTGTGAGATGTACTAGTTTAGTGAGGGTGGTTCATATTGTGAGATGTACTGGTTTAGTGAGGGTGTCCATATTGTGAGATGTATTGGTTTAGTGAGGGTGTCCATATTGTGAGATGTACTGGTTTAGTGAGGGTGGTTCATATTGTGAGATGTACTAGTTTAGTGAGGGTGTCCATATTGTGAGATGTATTTGTTTAGTGAAGGTGTCCATATTGTGAGATGTACTGGTTTAGTGAGGGTGGTTCATATTGTGAGATGTACTAGTTTAGTGAGGGTGGTTCGTATTATGAGATGTATTTGTTTAGTGAAGGTGTCCATATTGTGAGATGTACTAGTTTAGTGAGGGTTGTTCATATTGTGAGATGTATTGGTTTAGTGAGGGTGTCCATATTGTGAGATGTACTAGTTTAGTGAGGGTTATTCATATTGTGAGATGTACTCATTTAGTGGGGGGGTTCAAGGTGGGGGTGTAAGCTGCCTGCTTAAACTTAGATTTTCACCAACTACACAAATAAATGATCTTAAAAATAAAATGGTGGTTTTGGGGGGGAGACACGACCTTCTGGAACCCACCCACTCGGATCTGTCAGTGTACTTCACTCAAACACAGAGCCTGTGAAACTGGTATGACAGGGATGCAGGTATTGATTATGACTACGCATTCAGTTGAAAAGTAAACATTCATTATTACACTGTACAGAACAGAAAATAAGAGTGCACAGTGTCAGTGTGACTTGTCATAAAAGATCATACGATGTCAACACAACATGGAAGCACCTGCTAAGTTTTCTATATTCCACTGTGTTGTGTCTGATCTGATCCTCAACTGACGGTGGAGGCACTCAATCAGGGAGCATTCATTATTCACAAGCAAAGTTACGCGGAAACAGCAGATTAATTATGAATGTGGACCTCAGTTGAGGATCTTCTCTCCGATACATATAAACAGTGTGACTTCATTGCGCGGCCTTGTCCTAGCAACTGATTGTGTATTGGGTCGTTTATATACACTCCGTCTCGTAGCGAGAATCTGAGGTGGATTTGGGTAGTGTCAGGTGATTTTCAGTTGGATGAAACGACGATGGTGCTAGAGCTGTTCTATGGGGAAATATGTCAATAAGGTTGGTTGTGTTTGTTCATCATCATTTGTAGTCAGGGATTTATCCATGAATTTTTATTTGATTCCGTGACTCTGATATTGGAATGAATATTCGTTTTATTTCCTATTGAGAAATATTAATATTGATTTTTTTATGACTTTCTTCTGAATATTCATTTCAGGTAAAAGCTAGGTACAATTTTCATTATTGTAGTCACTACGTACTATAGTTTTGATGTACCAGTACAGTAGTGAAAATAGTTGTCAATGGAAGGTGATGGATGCTGATGTGTGACCTGGCCATGATGATACTATGGAGTGCAGAGACTAGCAACCATACAGTAAAGCTGAACCCTGATTATGTGGACAGATTCTCTTAATGGTCAACTGCCTCTGTGGTCTAGTAGATAGGGCGTCCAACCAGGGAGCAGAAGGTGCAGGGTTCGATCCCCGACTGTGTCATACCATGACGTTAAAAGATGGTACTTGTTGTTACCCTGCCTGGTACTTGGCATTAAGTGGATAAAACAAGGACTTGTTGACTCAAAGTCAGTTTACAGTGTCTGACTGGGGTATCCATGTGAACCTGTGGCATGGTATCTCATTGGACGAGTAATGTAAAACTGGCATTTGTCCGGAATAGTACAAACACATGTCCATGTTTGTCGCTTTGTTAGTGTCATAATTTTCTATGCGACATTAACGATCCTATTTCATCTCAACTCACCTCTTGTTGATCTAAGATTTGTTAGATTTGTGATCGGCAGATTATCCAGTCCCCTAGCAGAGAAATCAGGACTTTTTTATAGCCATAGTGAAGGGATATACCACACTATTTGAGCAAACATGGTAAAATTACAGCACAACCTGACTAAAGTCTTGATCTTACCGTGTAGTCTGTGGTCTGAAGAACAAGTCTGGTAAAGTTTCTTTCGGTCTGGTAAGCTTTGCTATTTAACTCCATCAATTAATACTCGATTCTACTAAAAATTATGTCAAGTGACAGGTTTGGGCTAGTTGACACAAAAGTCTTCTTTCAACATTTTGAATGATGATATCATGGACATGAAACTGTTTATCATTCATGATATAGATGTGAATTTTGACAGCAATCCTTGGCTTTTGTTTAATATTTTGATAAATGTAATTGATGAGCTTCGCAATATGATTCAAAAGTTCACTACTGATTCACTATTATTGAAGGATTCCTTTTGGCCGTTATGGGTGCAACAATAAGGAGGGCCACGATGCGATATGTATCACGATACACCAGAATCACAAAGCTTAGGAACAATGAACTGAAAAGTTATATTTTCAAATTTTGAGGAAAAAAATGACATCACGTACATTACACTCACTAATTAGGATGCAGAAATCCTCTCACAACTGTCTCCCAAATATACAGTTTGTATCATGTATTGAGATACACATCTGGATGTATCGTGTATGTATGTCATGTTCAGTCACGCTGTCCTGACCCCCGGCGGGATTCTGAGTCATAATTAGTCCCCAGCAACCTATGCTGCCTCAGTGCTGACTGCTTTTTTAGATAATGCTTGATCACTCACTCATCATGGTTACAGGGGTCGCCATGACTGATGGCCCGTCTGGCTAGTCAAAATTTCACCCCTTCCCCATGTCTGTTTAATTATTTTAATTGGACACTTCTCATGAATCATGTAGTTTTGATGAGAAAATATTTAGGAGGGATGAGGTAATGTTTATGGTTAACTCAAAGATCTATGTCGATCATCCTCTTGGTAGAATGAAAACTGGCTGCCATTTTGTAATGTTGTGTACAACAACATCTTTATCTGCTCATAATTCATCATGAAATGAGGCAAATGGAAGCCAAGATATATTCTCAGAGTGCAGGAAAAAAGGTTTTAGGGGTGAAGAGTTCTAAAATTTTGAGAGCACAGCTAAGTGGCTACGCGACCTCAGGTTCGTCCAATTTGCAGCCTCCACCATTTAGTTGTAGGCCAGTTTGGAGAATGGCCAGTAACTTTTAGGAGGAGCAAGCCCTGCTGGCTACATACAAAAATTGTCATTCCCTCTGTATGTGATGCAGCACTTGGTTGGTATGTATAGTTAATATGCGAACTGTTCCTCAGAACTGGACCGGTCCTGCAAGTGTGTCCTTGGCCCGCCTTGACCAGGTGAAGACCACCGTCTATAACCTGGGCCTTGCTGACCCACGTGACCTCAAGGCTCCATCGGTGTATGATCGTAACCGCAGAAACCAGTTCCTGTCCGAAATCCAGACAGACCCACCATTGTCAACTGTAAACCTACAGAAGAATGCATGGTAAGAAAATACCCTAATACCATTAGTTAATACAGTGAAATAAGTGCATGAACTCATTAACATGATTAAGGACTGAAAATGTAGCCCCGTTAAATACCAGTCTATGTTATTAAGATTTCAGCAAGAGAAAAATCCCTTATTAGCAGGGTATGTAACTCCCAAAAATTTCAGCCAGACCACAGGACTGGCTAGCTGAAATACTTGCCAGCCCTGACCAAAACCTGCCTGCCCACTATAATCATATGTTTCTCAGGATAAGCTAACGGGGTTTCTTTTTGGTTACATTTTATCATTCATCTTTACATGTGAATTAATTTGTTTGATAGGCATTACTTAGAAGATAGCATCATCCTTGTTGTCACACCTACCTATGTTATCCCACTCATGTATGCCCTTGTTGTTACTGTTAATCCTCTACTGTTAATCCTCCACTTGCTATATATATTCTGCACTATGTCCCTCATTCAGTCTTGCTTGACAACGGTATAAGGATCTATACCGAAACGTCGCTTTTTACAGTATTAAAGAAGTTGTTATCCATAAAATTGTGTCTATCATGTGAATTAATGCTTATCATCGGGAAATATTTTGAATATTTTCACACATGAAATATAACCCGACCGTCGGGCAGGGGGATTTGAAAATCTGGCAGCCCGAGTTGAAATCAACCCGTCTCGGACGGTCGGGCAGGCAGGTATTTCGAACACTGTTATTAGGCTAAATAGATAATAGTTTTGGTTCTCAGGCACCACCCGCATCATCATAAAGTTCACTGCATTTTGTTTTTATTTCCATATAAATTTTTATTTTAATAATCCTTAAATATTCCAACTACAACAGTAGTCAAATACTGTATTCCAGTATTTTACTCATCAAGGAATACATTTATATAGGGAGGCCCTTTCCTAAGGTTGATTGTGCACAATTGTTTATTTGGTTACAACAACACCCCCCCAAAACCATTCCCTGAGAACCAATTCTTTTATTTTTTAATGCCTTAAACTCATCTCCCCCAAAACTGATCAATATGTACTTTCTTCAGCTTGTTCAGGAAAGAAACTTGAACTCATGTTCCTGCTGATGAAAAATTGAATGTTCTGTCTTCAGGGGAAGTAACTCATCCATCCCAGAGCTAATCAAACATCATAGCGAGGCCACAAAGACACCAACCAGGAAACGTCCTGCCAGCGCCAAAACAACTGGATGTACTCGGCCCCCTAGTGGCAGGAAGAACCGACCACAGAGTGCCAAAGACTTGCCGCAGACATCACCGGCAAGTGAACCAATAACCATTGCAGGTGAGGAGGTTATGTCTCTCCTCTTTGAGAGTTGAGTTTGGAATGCAAACTGTTCAACAATCGGAATTGCAACCTGTGAAGATCCGGGGTAGAATTGGTCTTCAGCACCCCAATGCTTACCGTATAAGGCGACTATGCTTGTCGTAAGAGGCAACTAACATGATCCGATGTTCAGGCTCAACCATGTCACACATTACCGTATTCGACGTAATAAGCGCCCCTCTTTAATAAGCGCCAACGGCGACATTTGCAAAGATATTGGCTTGTGATCAATCCCGATTAGCACCCCTTCCGATTGATCAATGTACACATTATTCGCGTATAATATGCACTCGTGTGTTATGTGCACCCTTAAGTATGGGCAATTAAATTCTGGCAAAAAACAGTATCTATCTGTTGTACATAAACATTTCAGGTTGTCAGCATAAACCATGAAATTTATCTTTTATTATGTAATGGAAAAAAAGTAAAAAGATGTTATGAAATTATCTAATTTATTGCATATTCAAATGGTAATTATGCAATTATGTGAATCATACTGTGAATTAAGCATGTTCAAGTGCTTAATCCATGGAAAAGTCATTGGAATTTGTCAGGGTAATAGTGTATGGACCCTTTATTGTTTTATAGTGAAAGGGTCCAAGTATGATCCAAACGGGCGCCCCCCACGCGGACCAGGTGTGGGGTCGGCAACCGGGCTTGGATGGGTTGGTCCCCCTGCTGGGCTGCGCATCGACATGGACATGATCAACCCCAACATCGCTGCAGACTCAAACACAACCATTGAGTCAGGTAAGTGTCCCCTGTTGTCATTACTTCAGCTTAAAATGGGGATTTCATGAAATGTCCAGTTACTATGGTTGTAACCTTGGGAATAACCCTTTGTTTATTTCCATTCCTGGAAATGTTATGAGTCTTCAGTGATGGTTTGCTGCTTCCAGAATATGGTCACTATGAGTTCTCTACCAGTGGAGCGCCCCCTGCCCCATGTGTGTCACCGGAACCAGGGGAGGGAACTCTGGATAATATCAGTGATGTTGAGTGAGTACAAAGTTTAAACATTACTCAACAGATCTTTCAACAACTTATGACAAGGCTCTTTCGTGACCTTTCTCATTGGGATGTTTCACATTTTGATACAGGTTCAATGGAAAGTTGTGTAATTACATACATGTATGATTGTCTAACCTTGACCTCCCTATTCCAATGTGAAGGTCATGTACCAGTTCTGTTTGTTGAATATAATTTTAATTCTATAACTTTTCTCTCCCTGTTCCTATGTGAAGTTGAGCAGTGGAGTAGCCTGGTTTTTAAAGCGTTCACTCATCACACGAATACTTGTGTGTTCAATTCCCCACATGAGTACAATGTGTGGAGCTTATTTTTTCCTGGAATTTCTCGCCGTAATATTGCTGAAATAATGCAAAAAGTGGCATAAAACCATACTCACTCACTCCTATGTGAAGGTCCCTTCCTGTGAGAGCCCTGTTCTATCTATTGAATATAATTACACCTCTCAAACCTTGACCTCATTGTCCTTATTCCCATGACCAGGTCGCTACCCTGTGAGAGTCACAAGTCCTACCTGCTCCGGAAGCCGACACCGGAACCCATCCATCTGTCTCTACCTAAAGCTGAGGATGAGGAGGCAGACATGGATGAACTGGACACCGAGCGGTGAGGGGATGCGTGCATGAGAATACCTGTATCTTTGAGCAGGCATGTGTGTGTGTGTGTGTGTGTGTGTGTGTGTGTGTGTGTGTGTGTGTGTGTGTGTGTGCTTTGCTTTTGTCTGTGTCTGTGTGTGTCTCTCGTATATGTGTGCCTGTGTGTATGTATGTGTGAAAGTCTTGTGTGTATCAAGTGTACACCCTGGTATACAGTACACAATGTAGACCTGATGCTCAGGCCAACACTAAGCCAACTGATCATCAAAATTCTGTTACGATTGTTCTCAAAAGTATTCTCATTTGTGCCATAACGATGCTTCCACTCTGAACCTAAATAATGTAAATCAGGTTGAGATTGATTTGGGCTGTCTTGTTACAGTCACAAAGGAATTTGGGGGTAATCTCAGTAAATTGGCAGTCTCCCTGAAATGGGCGAATTTCCTCAGCTCAGTCCAACAGGTATTACATACAAGTACATGATGTGGTTCTCTTAGAGGGCTGAACATAATATTTGTTACATTTATGAGATATTGAGAGCTTTTGAGCACCTCACCTCAAATGTACTGGTGCATTAAAGCCTGTATGCAAGGAGTGTTTTAAAAGCCCATCATCCAATTATGTTTCTTTCATTTTATATGGGCTTCATTAAACAGCTTAACATTCAATCCAATATTTCTTTAGGTATCTCCCTAAGTCAATGCTAATCCTATCTGTGACACATTCATATTGATATTGTGACTTTCCATCTCATTCCCAGGCTGCTCCGGGAGGCTGAGAGTCACACCACCACCATCAACACCACCAACAACACCACCAACAACACCACAAAGTCGAGCCGACTCGTCAAGTACAACCAGCGCTCTGGAATCTCCTACATTGACACGCAGCCTGTGGATAACAGCAACTTGTCACCTCGGGATGAGGAACAGGTCTCTGGGAGACGGAGCCCAAGTCTGTATGACGTGAATGCCCGCACTCTTCCTGTGTCTCCAAGTACGACGTCTCCCATGCAGCACATGAGTCGACTAAACGTGCGAAGTGCAGGCCGGGCCGGAGTGCTCATCAGGGAGGACCGTAACGTCACGGTTGACATCACCCCAAGGAATGCGGGACGTAAAGTGGCAACTCTCTCTGCTGGCAGGCGGGGCATGGCTAAAAAGAAATTTTCGCGTTCTGATTACAGTCATGTAAGAAGTCGGATTAATTCCGGTGTAGATTCGTCTACGATGTTAGTAGAGAAAAAGATGGTGCAGGGTGATATTGTCACTCATGATCATGACACACTTGGCCTTGAACTTGATGTGAGGCCAGTGACACGTAACCACGTCCCAGTTCCGCCTGTTGTTCCCACAGTAACAGTTCGCTATGACGACACTGAAAGTGAAAAAAGCAGCGCACAGGAAACACAGGAAAAAAAGAAAAAGATTCGTAAAGAAATTGATTTAATTACAATGGTGTCTCAAGTCAGTTTGACAGAGAGTGAAGACAACAATGAAGACGACGCGGACGAAAAATCAAGCGTTTTGTCCGTGAACAACACCAATCATTCACATCTACGGAAAAACATCACAAAGTTCCTACATCCACCGTCTAATCCAAAACTATACAGATCTCAAACAGAAAAGAATTACTACGAAGTGGCGATGAGAACCGACCGGGGTAAATCACCAGAGAGGAATTGCAGTGAGGAGAAGGAGAACTTGATCTACAAGACCATAAAGACGTTCGAGTTCGACGACAATATGCCGGTGGAGAAGACCGAACGTAGTATCATCCCAGGAACTCTCATTTCCACCACTAAACCCAGGGAGAAGCTGGCTGTGGCCGTTGACTATCTGGAACAGAAAAGGATGTCCCCCAGGAACAGTGCTGTATCTATCAAGGTGAGGAGTTGCCTCCCTTATTGACCTTCAGGATCTGCTAATAATGGATCTAACTTAACTGGAAGCAACAACTGCCAGTCTAGCTACTGCCAGTAGTCCTGTCATGCTTAGACTGTTTTGCCAACACATGATATAATATTATGATTCTAGCCATGATAAGACTTCAGCCGTTGTGTGCAAGTTCTAAAAACCTAATGCTTCCACAATCTACTGTAAGAGGTATAACACCTACACTCTCATCCAAAGGGTGGTAGGGTAGCCTACTGGTTAAAGCGTACACTGATCATACTGAAGGCCTGGTTCGATTCCACTAAAATCTGTGATACCCTTATCTGATGTTTCCTGCCGTTGCTGAAATTTTGCTAAAATTGGCGTGAAACCATACTCAATCAAGACTGTCTTATTCAGGTTCCTCCCAAAACCAAGGAGCCGGAACCAGAGCCAGAGCCACCTGCCTCCACAAGTCTGGGGTTTGCCTCTCTGTCCCCAGAGGACCTCGAGATCCTTGCTAAGGCTGCAGCCAAGTCTGAAGAAAAGGTACAAACATAAGCTGTTGGAGTTGAGGGCCTACACATAAATGTCAAAACAAGATTCTGTCTGTCAAATGTAATATTTTATAGTATCAGTGTGTGCCTGTTAGGGCTGGGATGGGTAACTCGGGTACTCGGGTTGGGTTGGTACTGAGTAGGACCTGGGTACCCACAGGACTACCCGGACCCGTGGTTGGTCAAGTGATTATATTGTTTAATGGCAAAAATTATCTAGAACTCTATGGTTACACTATAAAGGACAAATGTTCACATTTCTTTCTGACTATGCACACATTCCTTCTGACTTTATGTGTTTGCATAAAGATAAAACGTCTGTCATCTTCAGTGTATTCATGACGAGAGCGGTTTATATATGTATCTAAATACATTTTGACAGTAGTACGGTCAAACGTTTCCCAATCGGATGTTTTGTACTGACTCCTCACCCTATTTCCAGACTCTCCTTACTCTTCTTCCCCTATTTCCTGACATCTGACTTCTCCCCTATTTCCAGACTCTCCTGACTCCTCCCCCTATTTCCAGACTCTCCTGACTCCTCCCCCTATTTCCAGACTCTCCTGACTCTTCTCCCCCTATTTCCTGACATCTGACTTCTCCCCTACTTCCAGATTCTCCTGACTCCTCCCCCTATTTCCAGACTCTCCTGACTCCTCCCCCTATTTCCAGACTCTCCTGACTCTTCTCCCCCTATTTCCTGACATCTGACTTCTCCCCTACTTACAGACTCTCCTGACTCCTCCCCCTGTCTAGAATCCTCCCCCTTTTTCCTGACATCTGACTTCTCCCCTATTTCCTGACATCTGACTCCTCCCCCTCATTCCTGACATCTCCCCCTATTTCCAGACTCTCCTGACTCCTCCCCTATTTCCAGACACTCCTGACTCCTCCCCCTATTTCTTGACATCTCTTGACTCCTCCCCTTTTCCCAGACTCTCCTGACTCCTTCCCCTGTCTACACTCCGCCCCCTAAGAGCTGTCAAATTTTACTGTATAAGACTTCTCAGCGGGCACTATATGCACCTGGGGGCACGGGTGGCCCAGTCGTCTAAGGCATTGCAATTCGTTGTGCAGAGTTATGTCCCTTGGACATGCCAGAAACCTATGATTGTGGGTTCGAATTCTGGTTCGCCCCGATTATGTTTCTAGGTTTGTCAGCACCATGCCCGTGCTTGTGGTTTCACTGAAGTAGTAAACGTCTGAGACCTGCATCACTTCGGGCTTTCCTCTCAATAAACTGACACACCGTGATATAACTGTAATACTGTTAAAAGCGGCGTTAAACCAAACTCACTCACTTACCCAAACTATGTGTCCTTGGCAGACTATTTAGGAAAACTTCATTATTTTACTCAAATTGGTCAGTGAAATACAAGTAACTTCTACGAAGCCATGGAATGATACAATCATAAGGCTAGAAGCAGTCAAGTTTCTATCTTCAAATCACTCGGCAGTGTGAGCATGCAACATCTCGCTATCAAAAACTTGAATCCAAATCCGAAATGAAATAATCTCACAAACTTTCGATGTAAACAGGTGTCATTGGATAAGACATAAAAGTATGCAGCTAAATATGCTAGTGTGTCACTGAGATTTATTTCCGGTAAGATTAAGACATAGTTATGTGGTCATAAAAATGAAAATAATTAATTTCAAATTTGTTTTATTGTAGGATTCATATTTTGTTTGTTTGAATTGCATGTTACATGTTTGGGAATTATTCAAGTGCAAAATTTGATAGAAAAGCATGAAAATTAGTGTATTGGCTGATTATAAAAAAGCAAATTCTGTGACTTTTCTGCAAATCTCTCTGTGATCTCAGAATCACAAAATCTTCCTGGGACTGCACCATTTTTATGATACTGGTGAGGACAGATATCAACACGTTGTTGGAATAGATATCAACACCATAGTTTGTCGGCCCACTGTCATGTGACCAAGTCATGTGACCACTGCATCGTCAAATTAATACCTCCATTGTAGAAATAGAAATATACGATAAAAAAGTCTCAAGTTATTCCTTTATGACTGTTTTTTTAATATGGTCCCTATGTAAATGTGTGATTATTAAAGTTACTACCAGGCCACTACCAGGCCACCCGACCACCTATTACCTGACCCTACTCGGGTACTCACTATTTAGATACATGTATCAAACAATCAGATCATGCGTACACTGAAGTTGACTGAAGCTTTATCTTTATTCAAACATACAAGTCAAAAGGAAAGAGCCTAGTGTAACCACTGAGCTATAGTGAGTTTTTGTCATCAAACAATCTATCACATAACTAACCACCGTTGCGTGTAGTCCTATGGGTACCTGGGTCCTATTCAGGACGCACCCAACCCGGGTACCCGAGTTACCCATCCCAGCCCTCGTGAGTATATACAATTATTACTATTATATGGTTTCTGTGACTGGTTCCAGTTCAACAACATGTTCTTGGCGCCCCCGGCTCCTCAACGTCGTGGGAGGTCAGCCAACACAAAGCGACACAAACCCAAGCGGGAACCCACAGCTGACGAAAATATCATCAAGATACACACAGAGAGCGTCATCTCCCTCAGTGTCAGTAAAACCTTTGAACACTCAGTGTTTAATAATTGACTCGGCCACACAATGTATTTTCGTGTTTTACAGATGGGTCAAGTCTAAAAAAAATGTCAAAACAGAAAATTAATTATGTTTGTATTTTTGTTAAAAGTTTCAAAGAGCTATTGTTATGAAATCAACTTGGCAAAATATTTTCTCTATATTTAACTTCCTACTTTTTTGCAAATTGACCAAGAAAATTTGTAAAACAAGAAGTAAGATTGGGCTGGCACCAATGGGGTGAAATGGGGTTTAATATCACATGCATCCAGTGAGTGAGTGAGTGAGTGAGTCTCTGTGTGTCTCTGTGTGTGTGTGCTACCACTGAGATATCATGCCTCAGTTTAACATGAACACCCCATGCACAGTCCGAGGCGACCAAGTCCTTGTTTTAGCAACTTAATTATGGGCACAAATTTACTTGTACTGAACTCAAACTAGCTGCCACCAGACTAGGATTTATCTAGGATTCCAAACGAAGTGCCCTTGGCAGGCAAATTTGGAAAAGAATGATTATTTTGTGCAAAATTGGAATTTTTTAAAGTCCTCAATTTCTCAAATTCAGGGTATTACAACCATGCATCCAATACAATAATGCCTCTGACTTTGTAGTGGTCCTGTTATCAGTGAAATACAAGTAAAAGTAATACAAATGAAAGTCACTTCTACAAACCATAATAGTAGTTATAACTATCTTAGCATGATTAACATGAATAGGGAAAATCTTCAATTGTTTAACTTATCCTATCTCGCTATGCATTTCTTTGTTCTTCTTTCTATGTGGAAACATGCTTGAACAAAGTGTCCAGCTTCTGAAAACAATTCACTCGAACACATCCCAGCATCACCATGGTTACTACCCAAACAAAAGGGTCACGCACTATAATCCTGTGCATAGCGACCTACACGAGATACCATATGTGTTCGGGTGAAATGTTTTTAGGAGCTGGGAATTTCAAACACATTTCCACATAGGACTGAAATAAGAAGAAGAAAGAAATGCAGAGTGTGAGATAGGATAAGTATCATAAATACACAATTTCTTTTAAAACTACAATTCCAAGTTGGGAATTTGCTGCTGATATGGTGTTAAATATTGGTCTCTGATCAGGACCAGATACGTCCATGCCCAAAAAACCCCAGTGAGGATAAGCTACGGATAGTTGTTGAAATTATTCATAAATTAATCATTGTCAGGTCATTGACAGGTGATAAATAGTTTGAAATACAGGCAATCAGTTTAATTACTTCTTTGAGATACCCTGTCATTCTTCTGAAATCTTTTTGAAAGGCAGGTTGTGATTGGTCACCAGGAACACCAGCCTGACCAGTCAGTGGGGTTGTTACTAAAGTGACCCATGTTGCTCAGTTTGTGTGTTGTATGAAGACCAGCTGCTTGATTCTACAGATGCAGACAGATGCGGAGGATAACTCGATGCTCCGACCCACCTCCTGTCTCGTCACTTCGGACAGGAAACTGTGAGTCTCACAATCATTCATTGTTTTTTGCCTTATTTTTGAAATCCTTGACAATTGCAAACCACCCTTCACATAAAAATATGCATCTAATTGAAGGTTAAGAAAACTAATTTATCTCTAAATGCTGTCAGTCTTGGTAATGGTACCAGATTTGTCCTTGTTAGTTTTGTTCTGACCCTTTTGCTTCCTCTCCCTATTTCCAGACCCTCCTGACTCCTCACCCTGTTTCCAGACCCTCCTGACTCCTCACCCTATTTCCAGACCCTCATAACTCCTCCCCCTATTTCTAGACCCTCCTGACTCCTCCCCCTATGTCAGACCTTCTTGACTCCTCACCCTATTTCCAGACCCTCCTGACCCCTCCTCCAATTTCCAGACCCTCCTGACTCCCATGTCCAGACTCTCCCCCTATTTCCAGACCCTCCTGACTCCTCCTCCAATTTCCAGACCCTCCTGACTCCCATGTCCAGACTCTCCCCCTATTTCCAGACCCTCCTGACTCCTCACCCTATTTCCAGACCCTCCTGACTCCTCACCCTATTTCCAGACCCTCCTGACTCCTCCCCTATTTCCAGACCCTCATAACTCCTCCCCCTATTTCCAGACCCTCCTGACTCCTCCCCCTATTTCCAGACCCTATGTCAGACCTTGACTCCTCCTCCTATCTCCAGACCCTCCTGACTCCTCCCCCTATTTCAAGACACTCCTTACCCCTCCCCGATTCCAGACTCTTTTGACTCCTCCTCTTTATACAGACCCTTCTGACTGCACCCCCAAGACAGACCCTCCTGACCCCTCCTCACCCCTCCCACTGCCACCTCCCCCCACACATACCCTCTGACTCAACAACCACCACCCTGATCCTGTGTTAATATTGCAGCAATGCTGACACTCGCAGGATCCAGTCTGCTGCTACAGCAGAGAGAGGTCCTCGCTCCAGTAAAAGTAAGTGTTGACTGGTATAATCACCACGATAAACAGAAAACATGTTGGAATTACCTGCCTCTGTTAATTGGTCAGCCCATAATCTGAAATATATTAAAAGTGTCAGAATGACCTTTGTCCGACCAATCAGAGCGTCACTTGCTATATCATGAAACTGACAGTCGGAATGTGTTTATAACACCTCAAAAAGGTTAATACGGGGTATTCCAAATGACAGATACAGGATATACGACTGATTCCGTCAAAATCATCGTTCATCTCTCGCGTCAGTGGGATCAACATTTAAGCGGAAGAGACTTTGCATAGCCCATGGGAAATACTGCCATACAATCTGAGGAAATACTGCCATACAATCTGATTGGCTAGTGTCTACTTCTTCTTAGTCATTTTATTCGTCGCGAAAGGTCGTTCTGGTGTGACCTGTAATGGATGCCCTCAGATTTTTGTAAGGATGTAGCAAAAACTAAGATCTGATTTTAATGAGATTCGACAGGAAACTGGTCACAAATGGTTTCACTTTTTTTATTACAGGGCTGAGTTGCTAATTTATGAAACTTGGCCATGATGAATAAATGCATGAAACGTGCAGTATACCGGTACATGGAAAATATTTGCCCGCTCCTTAAATAATCAGAAGTTTAAATGTAAGATAAGATAAAAGGTCCTGGCTCACTTATAACCTATGCTGTAACTTTCTGTCTGTTACAGAGCAGTCGCCAAATACTGGCTCACCAACTTCATGCTGTAACTTCCTGTCTGTTACAGAACGGTACGCCAACTACTGGCTCACCAACCCCATGCTGTAACGTCCTGTCTGTTACAGAGCGGTATGCCAACTACTGCCTCACCAACCCCATGCTGTAACTTTCTGTCTGTTACAGAGCGGTACGCCATCTACTGGCTCACCAACCCCATGCTGTAACTTTCTGTCTGTTACAGAGCGGTACGCCAACTACTGGCTCACCAACCCCATGCTGTAACTTTCTGTCTGTTACAGAGCGGTACGCCAACTACTGGCTCACCAACTCCATGCTGTAACATCCTGTCTGTTACAGAGTGGTACGCCAACTACTGGCTCACCAACTCCATGCTGTAACGTCCTGTCTGTTACAGAGTGGTACGCCAACTACTACCTCACCAACTCCATGCTATAACTTCCTGTCTGTTACAGAGCGGTACGCTAACTACTGGCTCACCAAATCCATGCTGTAACTTCCTGTCTGTTACAGAGCGGTACGCCAACTACTGGCTCACCAACTCCATGCTGTAACGTCCTGTCTGTTACAGAGCGGTACGCCAACTACTGGCTCACCAACTCCATGCTGTAACTTCCTGTCTGTTACAGAGCGGTACGCCAACTACGGGCTCACCAATTCCATGCTGTAACTTCCTGTCTGTTACAGAGCGGTACGCCAACTACTGGCTCACCAACTCCATGCTATAACTTCCTGTCTGTTACAGAGCGGTACGCCAACTACTGGCTCACCAACTCCATGCTATAACTTCCTGTCTGTTACAGAGCGGTACGCCAACTACTGGCTCACCAACTCCATGCTATAACTTCCTGTCTGTTACAGAGCGGTACGCCAACTACTGGCTCACCAACTCCATGCTGTAACGTCCTGTCTGTTACAGAGCGGTACGTCAACTACTGGCTCACCAACTCCATGCTGTAACTTCCTGTCTGTTACAGAGCGGTACGCCAACTACTGGCTCACCAACTCCATGCTATAACTTCCTGTCTGTTACAGAGCGGTACGCCAACTACTCACAGACTAACTTGTCCCGGAAGAAGGAGAGCTGGGACCCCGACAGCGTCATCTACATCAACACCAAGAAGCCGTCCCATGATCTGGAGACAGAGGAGAACCTGGCGTGCCAGGAGATGCACACACGAATGGCAGAGCTGGGCTGCAATGTCAAGCCAGAGACGCTGGAGAGGTAGGTGTCGTTGCTGTCAGCACCTCACACTCCAAGTTATTATCTGAATGTTTTGTTAGTGTATGGGAGTTATGATCGTTATAGTGCTGAGACTGTTGTAAATCTCTATCAGAGTATGGGAGTTATGATCATCGTAGTGCTGAGACTGTTGTCAATCTCTATCAGAGTATGGCAGTTATGATCATCGTAGTGCTGAGACTGTTGTCAATCTCTATCAGAGTATGGGAGTTACAATCGTTATAGTGCTGAGACTGTTGTAAATCTCTATCAGAGTATGGCAGTTATGATCATCGTAGTGCTGAGACTGTTGTCAATCTCTATCAGAGTATGGGAGTTATGATCGTTATAGTGCTGAGACTGTTGTCAATCTCTATCAGAGTATGGGAGTTATGATCATCGTAGTGCTGAGACTGTTGTCAATCTCTATCAGAGTATGGCAGTTATGATCATCGTAGTGCTGAGACTGTTGTCAATCTCTATCAGAGTATGGGAGTTATGATCGTTATAGTGCTGAGACTGTTGTCAATCTCTATCAGAGTATGGGAGTTATGATCATCGTAGTGCTGAGACTGTTGTCAATCTCTATCAGAGTATGGCAGTTATGATCATCGTAGTGCTGAGACTGTTGTCAATCTCTATCAGAGTATGGGAGTTATGATCGTTATAGTGCTGAGACTGTTGTCAATCTCTATCAGAGTATGGGAGTTATGATCATCGTAGTGCTGAGACTGTTGTCAATCTCTATCAGAGTATGGCAGTTATGATCATCGTAGTGCTGAGACTGTTGTCAATCTCTATCAGAGTATGGGAGTTATGATCGTTATAGTGCTGAGACTGTTGTCAATCTCTATCAGAGTATGGGAGTTATGATCATCGTAGTGCTGAGACTGTTGTCAATCTCTATCAGAGTATGGCAGTTATGATCATCGTAGTGCTGAGACTGTTGTCAATCTCTATCAGAGTATGGGAGTTATGATCGTTATAGTGCTGAGACTGTTGTCAATCTCTATCAGAGTATGGGAGTTATGATCATCGTAGTGCTGAGACTGTTGTCAATCTCTATCAGAGTATGGCAGTTATGATCATCGTAGTGCTGAGACTGTTGTCAATCTCTATCAGAGTATGGGAGTTACGATCGTTATAGTGCTGAGACTGTTGTCAATCTCTATCAGAGTATGGGAGTTACAATCGTTATAGTGCTGAGACTGTTGTAAATCTCTATCAGAGTATGGGAGTTATGATCATCGTAGTGCTGAGACTGTTGTCAATCTCTATCAGAGTATGGCAGTTATGATCATCGTAGTGCTGAGACTGTTGTCAATCTCTATCAGAGTATGGGAGTTACGATCGTTATAGTGCTGAGACTGTTGTAAATCTCTATCAGAGTATGGCAGTTATGATCATCGTAGTGCTGAGACTGTTGTAAATCTCTATCAGAGTATGGGAATAACGATCATTGTAGTGCTGAGACTGTTGTAAATCTCTATCAGAGTATGGGAGTTACGATCATCGCATTGCTGAGACTATTGTAAATCTCTATCAGAGTATGGGAGTTATGATCATCGTAGTGCTGAGACTGTTGTAAATCTCTATCAGAGTATGGGAGTTACGACCATTGTAGTGCTGAGACTGTTGTAAATCTCTACTAGAGTATGGGAGTTACGATCATCGTAGTGCTGAGACTGTTGTAAAATCTCTATCAGAGTATGGGAGTTACGATCACCGTAGTGCTGAGACTGTTGTAAATCTCTATCAGAGAATGGGAGTCATAATGTACAATCATGTAATCAGGACTTGTTCAAGCCATCAGATCACCCTGTAAAATAATGTCAGGAACATTCCAAAAATTCACTAAGTGCATGATCTGACAAGGGAAGCAACTCACCCTGACAGTGTCCTGATGAGGTTGATATGTCAGCCTCACCTAAGCTGTCATGCATTAGACACACTCTGTGTGTTAATAGTGCTAAGACTATTGTAAATCTGTGTCAGAAAATGGCGTTACGATCATCGTAGTGATAAGATCTCATTGTGAAACAGATCCCAGAGTTCTTCATTTGACTGTAACATTCCCTGTTTCTCCAGAGCGCTGTTCCCACCGACCGGAAAGACCCTGTACTACGATCTCCCCTCCGAGCTACCCATGTCTCCATCTGACGGGTGAGTTCATCACAGCCTGGTCATTATTAATTACTGTTTTAATAACATACAGAATAAATTACATAGAAATGCAAGAGTTCCCAAATTTTTCAGACCTAAAATGACAACACAAAATATGATACACTCCTTAAACCAATCTCACTGTTAGGCTGAAAAAATAGTCTTGGTTCTCTGGCATCACTTGCATTATCATAAAGTCTGCCGCACATTTCCTTTTCATTCCCTTTTTAAAGAATCCTTAAATATTCCACGTCTCGAACACATGACCCCGGCAGTGAAATGCTACAATACTTAAAAGCAAGTCAATCCAGTATAGCACACAGTTACTTCCCTTTACATGCACACTGCTTTACTGCACATCTTGTGTTATGGTCACGGCGGCAATAGGAGTTTGTGTGCTTGGTTTGACGTTTTCAAATTTGGTCATCGAAAACATGAAATGTACAATAAAACATCACTAGACATGATGATTTACAAATTCAGTGGTATTTGTGTACTGTATGCCGGACATTGTTTCATTGATTTGGATTACATGTGTATTTGTCTCATAAAATAAGCCGTAAATAGCAATCAGCTGTTCACACATATTCTCCCCTATCGATTGGTGATTTAGTTTAAAAAATATTCATTGTCAAGGCCAATATCATAACTGAAAAGAAATTTCAATACAGTGATAGGAAAACTTCTTTGAGAGGCATTTAGAAGTTGGAGTACTAAGTAAGGATAAGAATTTATGGATGAACAACTTCTTTATTACAATTAAGAGCGGCGTTTCAGTGTAGGTTCTAACACCGTTATCAAGCAAGTGATATACAGAGTGTGGTTGGCAAGTATGTTTACAAGTAGGAGGCAATGTTTATACAGTAGAGTAGGTATTGTTATACTGGAGTAGAGAAACCTGTTATGTACACACAAGGGTAGTGATGACAATCATCGGTGAAGTCAGTGACATAAACAAAGGATGAAGTCAGTAATGTAGACAACGGGATTATGGCTGATTGGGGTCTTTGATGAGTTGATGGTATGCCCGGCGTAGAACCTACACCGAAACGTTGCTCTTAATTGTAATAAAGAAGTTGTTCATCCATAAATTCTTATCCTTACTCAGTGATAGGAAGACGCGCACAACTTCATGGTGAGTTGATGTTATTTGTCGATCAGTTCATACATGATTTTGCTGATATTAATGTAAACAAAATTGAATGAAATCTTGGATAAAAATAATATAATGGAATGCCATCATTGTAAATTTTTAATTTTTTTTATGACTGATTTACTATTTCCCAGATGATTTTATGTCTGGTTTGTTTTATCAGATTGGTTTGAGATTGCAAACTAAAAGAAAAGCACCCAACTTCCCCCGTACATTCTTACTATACCAATAACATGATAGTTGAATTAAAATAGAAGAGATGACGGATATATATAGCTGATTGCTATATCTGGCTTATTTTAACGAGACTATAAATGTGACAATATTAATCTCTGCTTGTAAATAAGAATGGTAGCCTAACAGAAAATATGATTGAAATTGTAAATCATCATATCTAATAATCTTTTGACACAAATTTACATTTACATTGACCAAATTTGTTATCTTCTCTTTGTTCACCTGTAGCAAAATGATGTAGTTATTGACTTGATGGCAATTTTGTACCCAAGAAAAGGGAATTCACATTGTGCTCAAGTATGTAATATACACAAGAAAATATGGTACACAGTTCAGAATTATTTTCTGAAGGTTATGATTTCTCCTTGTGAAGAGACCCGTGAAGACCCGGGGTAGAATAGGTCTTCAGCAACACATGCTTGCCATAAAAGGCAACTATGCTTGTCGTAAGAGGCGACTAACAGGATCGAGTGGTCAGGCTCGCTGACTTGGTTGATGTATGTCATCGATCCCAATTGCGTGGATTGATGCTCATGATATCAATCACTGGATTGTCTGGTCCAGACTTGATTATTCACAGACCGCCGTCATATAGCTGAAATATTGCTGAATGCGGCGTTAAACAAACAAACAAACAAACAAACAAACATCCTTGTGAAGTAGCTGTGTGGTTAAAGCACTCGCTCATCACGCCGAAGACCCAGGTTCAATTCTCCACATATGTGTACAATTTGTGAAGCCCATTTGAAGTGTCCCCAGTCACAATATTGCTGGAATATTGCTAAAAAGAAACGTAAAACCATAATCATTCATTCTCACTTTGAGGATTCAGGGGCGGAATACATCCCCATAGGTGTCCTGTTAAATAAGGATTGGGTGGTCACTTGGGTGGCTTGTTGCTCATGCTAACAACCATTGGTTTGCATGGCCAAGACTCATTTAATTACAGCCCTCTGTGAAACAACTGGAATATTGCAAACTTTGGTGTAACACATCAATCACCTGCTCACATTACAAATGTCTGTACCCGTTGTTAGGTCTTCAGCAGCCCATGCTTGCTGTAACAGGCGACTATGCTTGTCGTAAGAGGCGACTAATGGGATCGGGTGGTCAGGCTTGCTGACTTGGTTGATGATGTCATCTCAGTTGCGTGGATCGATGCTCGTTATGTCAATCACTGGATTGTCTGGACTAGACTCGATTATTTACAGACCATCATATAGCTGGAATATTGCTGAGTGCAGCGTTTACCGGTGAACAACAAACAAACAAACCTGTGAGTTTGCTGATTCATGGGGGGTGTTATGTAATGATTTCTAACTTGTCTGTTTTGATGATTTCAGGCTTTTGAGTCACCCAAGATTCTGGCTGCCTAAGGAATATAACAAGTTCAAACTAGCAGAGAAACAGTTGGGTAAGTCAGTGCAGAGGATTGTCCATCCCCCTCACATTCTTCCCTGACAGGGGCGGTTGGGTAGACTAGTGGTTAAAGCGTTCGCTCCTCACGCCGAAGACTTGGGTTTAATTCTTGACATGGGTGCAATGTGTGAAGACCATTTCTAGTGTCCCCCGCCGTGATATTGCTGGGATATTTCTAAAAGCGGGTAAAACCATACTCACTCACTCATTCACTCTTCCCTGACACTAGATGAGAACTTTGTGATAATCATTTCTTGGTATAGAAGCAAAAACAGTAGACTAACATCTAGTCTCTGAAATGAACATATCGTACAGAATAAAAATAGTTGTTAAATTATCTTAATAAAAATTTAATAAAAAGGAGCCCAGAGACTCTCTTTATTTTCAGATACTGCAGAAATCTAGACTTTCCAAACATTATAGACTTACATGGGCTGCATTTGATATATTTGTATCAGGGTCTGTAAGACAGACTACAAAAAAAGTTACAAGTCTACATATCTCTACTCCCCTCAGCCTTTGGCTTATAATGTTTTCTTTAACCATGATAATTGTTACAAATGTAAGCACTGTAACAGGATTATGTGTGATAAATGCCGTTTTTTACTCACTGAAAGTGCCAACACTAACATATTGTGTTGTTCTTTCTTAAAAGTTATCTCTCATTAAGCTTACTGGGGTTTTTATGTGTTTTCGATTGCTAGTGGGTCAAAAGTTGCCTTCCTCACATTTCAGTGCAGTCTCCGTCATTAATGCTTTCTGTATTTATGAGTTGAAGAAGTACATATTCAGTAATGTCCGACAATGTCAAAGTTTTTAACTTGTATGACTTGTTCCAGCTCTGTTACCTTGTATGACATTGCTACCATTAAGGAAGAGAATATATTGATGTCAACTTCTTTATTATGAGGATTTTTTGGTTTGTTGTTTAACGCCGCACTCAGCAATATTACAGCTATATGACGGCGGCCTGTAAATAATCGAGTCTGGACCAGACAATCTAGTGATTGACATCATGAGCATCGCGATATCCACATAATTAGGATCGATGACATGCATCAACCAAGTCAGCGAGCCTGACCACCCGATCCCGTTAGTCGCCTTTTACGACAAGCATAGTCGCCTTTTACGGCAAGCATGTGTTGCTGAAGACCTATTCTACCCCGGAATCTTCACGGGTATTATTATGAGGAGGGGCGGTCGGGTAGCCTAGTGTTTAAAGCGTTCGCTCGTCACGCTGAAGACCCAGGTTCGATTCCCGACATGGGTACAATGTGTGAAGCCCATTTCTGGTGTCCCCCGCCGTGATATTGCTGGAATATTGCTAAAAGCGGCGTAAAACCATACTCACTCACTCACTCACTATTATGAGGAACGACTGAAACGTTTTGTTCCTCCATTATTAGGAACACAATGTTTCAGAGTATATATGCTTACTTTACTCCTTCATTAATCTCATGATTTTGTTTTCTTTTGACATGTTTTAACTTTGTTTCCATGTTTGACATGTCCTTGTCTTCCTGACAGCAAGGGCAGACCATCTGCTGTGGTTACAGAAGCGAGATGAGGACAGACGCACCAAGAGTGCCATGGAGCTGAAGACGCCCGGGAAAAAGAAGAAGAAGAAAGGGAAAACCAAGGGGAAAAAGAAGGGAAAAGCCTCCAGGAGTAACAGCATTTGTTAGCAGAACCAACATCACAGCATTTCACGCCAAGAGTGGGAGAAAGAAATAAAAACGTAGCATCCTAGCAAGTAGACTCCAGTCCTGGAGTTTGTGCTGGCCACAGTTCAAAGCTTCATCAGGTTCTGATAGTAGTATTTGTACTTGCATAGATTTATTACATGCTAACAACCATTGAGTAGAGGTAAGATGTGACCAGCAGTATTACGGTCAGCAAGCATGATGGAGTTTCTAGCCACAGTTTCTAAGTAAACATGTAGATTTCAACACCTTGCTGTTTGTCAAAATAACAACCAGTATTTCTGAACCAAAAATTTGTTGTCACTTCATTTTTCAGTATTGAGAGAAGATTTGTTTATGATTCTAAGCTCAGTATTTGGTGATGTATAACTTGTCAATGGGGGCAATCCTTGCAGGATGTGAGCGCCGGTATAGCCCATTGTGGATCTCAAATAGTTGCTATTCATACCATAACTAAGTATTATTATATTATCTAGTTGCTATTTATTAATTCATAAAGGAATAACTTGGTTGTCAGTGATGATTAAAGTTGCACTCTTTTTGAGGTTTTTTTAGCTCACCTGACATGAGAGTTGGAAATGCCAGTCACAGTCAACGTCAAACATTGATTAAAACATATAATGAAAATATTAGCAAGCTCTGTTTGTCCCTTGGATGATTTTGTAGTTATTAAGTTGGGGACATGGGTGGCCCAGTCATCTAAGGCACCATAATTCGGTGTGCCGAGTTGAGTCCCTTTGGCACGCCAGAAAGTTTTGATTGTGGGTTCGAGTCTCGAATCGTCCAATTATGTTTCAAGTTTTTTTCAGCACCTAACCTGTGCTTGTGGGTTTCATCAAAGTGATAAACGTCCTGCATCACTTTGGCGTTCCTCCCACATAAACAAACAGTTTCACAGTGATAATACTAGAATACTGTCCAAAGCAATATAAAACCCAACTCACTCACTCACTTGTGGGAAGTAGTACTGACAGGCAAAATGTGAAATAGACTCATTGAACAAGTGATTAAGCGTGAATTGTGTCAAATATTCAAGATTCCTGCTAGGGCTGGGACGGGTCATAATTTACTACCCTGGTACCCATCCCTCTATTACCCCACCCTACCCGGGTACCCACCCCTCTATAACCCGACCCTCCCCGGGTACCCATCCCTCTATTACCCAACCCTACCCGGGTACCCATCCCTCTATAACCCGACCCTCCCCGGGTACCCATCCCTCTATTACCCAACCCTACCCGGGTACCCATCCCTCTATTACCCGACCCTACCCGGGTACCCATCCCTCTATTACCCAACCCTACCCGGGTACCCATCCCTCTATAACCCGACCCTCTCCGGGTACCCATCCCTCTATTACCCCACCCTACCCGGGTACCCACCCCTCTATTACCCAACCCTACCCGGGTACCCACCCCTCTATTACCCAACCCTACCCGGGTACCCACCCCTCTATTACCCAACCCTACCCGGGTACCCACTGTAAATCTCAGGTGATGTCTCAAAATGTCTGATTGGGAACATTTTTAGCATAGCCCTGGCATAACGTATGTAGATACATGTATTAAACAATCTGGTCATTCATACACTGAAGTTGAATTAAGATATATCTTTATTCAACATATGAAAAATCAGAAGTCGTGCAGATGGGTGCATAGTCAAGAACTAATGGGATCCTCAGTGACTTGTAGTGTAATCATAGAGTTCTAGATAATTTTTGTCATTAAACAATATATCACGTGACTAACCAGGGGTCCGGGTAGTACTGTGGGTACCCGGGTCCTACTCAGTACCCACCCGACCCGAGTACCCGAGTTACCTGTCCCAGCCCTAATTCCTGCATCATAATATGACTATGATGATTTGTCAACGACAAGAGAGGAAGACATTCATTCAATGGAGGAAGGAAGTGGCAAGAGCAACATGACCTCCAGTGTCCTGTTCCCGCACTGATACAGATCTATTGAGGTCATTGTTGCCCAGCATTGTTCTTCTGCAGAATATGTTATTGACTTTGAATAATATCACCATGAATATGCACTACTCAGCTCGTGACAGGGACATATGTCATACAAATCTATGAATGGCATTTAGAAGTGATGCACATCAGGAAGAGAATTTATGGATGTTCTTTATTATGAGGAATGCAACGTTTCGGAGGATATGCTTACTCAGTGTTAGAAACTAACAGTTAAAGACCGCTCGTCCTTATAATGATAACATATAGCAAAACCCTTAAAGAGGGCAAATTTCTACTAGTCCTTATGATTCCTTAACTATTGAGCAGTTTTGAAAGGAATATGGGACTAGTACCAATTTCTACTGCTGCTTACTCCTTTATCAGGTACACGCGTGAAGATCCGGGGTAGAATAAGTCTTCAGCAACCCATGCTTGCCATGAAGATCCAGGGTAGAATAGGTCTTCAGCAACCCATGCTTGCCATAAAGGGCGACTATATTTGTCGTAGAAGGCGACTTACAGGATCAGGTGGTCAGACTCGCTGACTTGGTTGATGCATGTCATCGTCCCAATGCTCATGATGTCAATCACTGGATTGTCTGGTCCAGACTCAATTATTTACAGATCGCCGATATATAGCTGGAACATTGCTGAGTGGGGCAAAGCAAACAAACCAACCAACCAACCCTCTTCCTTGTATGTCCTACACTTGTGAAGTGAGTGAGTGAGTTCAACATTTATCTTGTATCAGCAGTTTTTCAGCTACAGAGCAATGGAATGAAACTAGGAAGAAAATTTATACATTGTTGGGGTGACTATCAAGTGCAATTCCCAGGAAATGTCCGTATGGAGAAGGATCTTGTTTGGTAATAAAAACCTGTCAGCAGGTAATTAACTTGGGGTCACCAGATAGTTCCTCACCCACTGCCGAGCTTGACACAAGGCACTGTCCAAAAAAAACTGTTTAGACTGTCTCCTGGTTAACCATGAGCTGTATATGGGCTGTAGTTAATACAGAGTTTATTGTTTGACTGTCTCCTTCAACCATGAGCTGTATACGGGCTGTAGTTAATACAGAGCTTTTTGTTTGACTGTCTCCCTCAGCCATGAGCTGTATATGGGCTGTAGTTAATACAGAGTTTATTGTTTGACTGTCTCCTTCAACCACGAGCTGTATACAGGCTGTAGTTAATACAGAGCTTATTGTTTGACTGTCTCCCTCAACCATGAGCTGTAGTTAATACAGAGCTTATTGTTTGACTGTCTTCTTCAACCATGAGCTGTATATGAGCTGTAGTTAATACAGAGCTTATTGTTTGACTGTCTCCTTCAACCACGAGCTGTATATGAGCTGTAGTTAATACAGAGCTTATTGTATGACTGTCTCCCTCAACCATGAGCTGTAGTTAATACAGAGCTTATTGTTTGACTGTCTCCCTCAACCATGAGCTGTAGTTAATACAGAGCTTATTGTTTGACTGTCTCCTTCAACCACAAGCTGTAATGAGCTGTAGTTAATACAGAGCTTATTGTTTGACTGTCTCCCTCAACCATGAGCTGTAGTTAATACAGAGCTTATTGTTTGACTGTCTCCCTCAACCATGAGCTGTAGTTAATACAGAGCTTATTGTTTGACTGTCTCCCTCAACCATGAGCTGTAGTTAATACAGAGCTTATTGTTTGACTGTCTCCCTCAGCCATGAGCTGTATACAGGCTGTAGTTAATACAGAGCTTTTTGTTTGACCGTCTCCTTCAACCATGAGCTGTATACAGGCTGTAGTTAATACAGAGCTTATTGTTTGACCGTCTCCTTCAACCATGAGCTGTATATGAGCTGTAGTTAATACAGAGTTTATTGTTTGACTGTCTCCTTCAACCACGAGCTGTATACAGGCTGTAGTTAATACAGAGCTTATTGTTTGACTGTCTCCCTCAACCATGAGCTGTAGTTAATACAGAGCTTATTGTTTGACTGTCTTCTTCAACCATGAGCTGTATATGAGCTGTAGTTAATACAGAGCTTATTGTTTGACTGTCTCCTTCAACCACGAGCTGTATATGAGCTGTAGTTAATACAGAGCTTATTGTATGACTGTCTCCCTCAACCATGAGCTGTAGTTAATACAGAGCTTATTGTTTGACTGTCTCCCTCAACCATGAGCTGTAGTTAATACAGAGCTTATTGTTTGACTGTCTCCTTCAACCACAAGCTGTAATGAGCTGTAGTTAATACAGAGCTTATTGTTTGACTGTCTCCCTCAACCATGAGCTGTAGTTAATACAGAGCTTATTGTTTGACTGTCTCCCTCAACCATGAGCTGTAGTTAATACAGAGCTTATTGTTTGACTGTCTCCCTCAGCCATGAGCTGTATACAGGCTGTAGTTAATACAGAGCTTTTTGTTTGACCGTCTCCTTCAACCATGAGCTGTATACAGGCTGTAGTTAATACAGAGCTTATTGTTTGACCGTCTCCTTCAACCATGAGCTGTATATGAGCTGTAGTTAATACAGAGCTTATTGTTTGACTGTCTTCTTCAGCCATGAGCTGTATATGGGCTGTAGTTAATACAGAGCTTATTGTTTGACTGTCTCCCTCAGCCATGAGCTGTATACAGGCTGTAGTTAATACAGAGCTTTTTGTTTGACCGTCTCCTTCAACCATGAGCTGTATACAGGCTGTAGTTAATACAGAGCTTTTTGTTTGACCGTCTCCTTCAACCATGAGCTGTATATGGGCTGTAGTTAATACAGAGATTATTGTTTGACTGTTATCTTCAACCATGAGCTGTATATGGGCTGTAGTTAATACAGAGCTTATTGTTTGACTGTCTCCTTCAACCATGAGCTGTATATGAGCTGTAGTTAATACAGAGCTTATTGTTTGACTGTCTCCTTCAACCATGAGCTGTATATGGGCTGTAGTTAATACAGAGATTATTGTTTGACTGTCTTCTTCAACCATGAGCTGTATACAGGCTGTAGTTAATACAGAGCTTTTTGTTTGACCGTCTCCTTCAACCATGAGCTGTATATGAGCTGTAGTTAATACAGAGATTATTGTTTGACTGTTATCTTCAACCATGAGCTGTATATTGGCTGTAGTTAATACAGAGCTTATTGTTTGACTGTCTTCTTCAACCATGAGCTGTATATGAGCTGTAGTTAATACAGAGCTTATTGTTTGACTGTCTCCTTCAACCATGAGCTGTATATGGGCTGTAGTTAATACAGAGCTTATTGTTTGACTGCCTTCTTCAACCATGAGCTGTATACAGGCTGTAGTTAATACAGAGCTTATTGTTTGACTGTTATCATCAACCATGAGCTGTATATGAGCTGTAGTTTTATACAGAGCTATTCAAATAACTGCCTCCTGGTTTAGCCATGAGCTGTATATGAGCTGTAGTTAATACAGAGCTTATTGAATAACTGCCTCCTGGTTTAGCCATGAGCTGTATATGAGCTGTAGTTAATACAGAGCTTATTGAATAACTGCCTCCTGGTTTAGCCATGAGCTGTAGTTAATACAGAGCTTATTGAATAACTGTCCCCTGGTTCAGCCATGAGCTGTAGTTAATACAGAGCTTATTGAATAACTGTTCCCTGGTTCAGCCATGAGCTGTATATTGAGCTGTAGTTAATACAGAGCTTATGAAATAACTGCCTCCTGGTTTAGCCATGAGCTGCCAACAGACTGTAGTTTTAGAGCTTACTGTTTAACCTGTGTCCTGCTTCAACCAAGAAGGCCAATTGGCCTCAGCAGCCATGTATAATATATGGACATTGTATATGGATTAGTGCTATTGTCTCACAACCAGAACATAGTTTAGCGCCATGACATTTTGGTCACTGTTGACCGTCTCCTTGTTTCATACAGTGAAACCATTTTAACCTCATTAACATATTCTAGATTGATGTCTGTGTAATGTTTTTTTAATTGTGATCCTGTGTGAATTCTGGGTCAGAAAGGTCTCCAATATCCCCGAGGCTTTTGGAACAATCCAGTTAATGAGGATCTCATGGTGAAAAGTGTGTGTCATTGTGCCCAGACAGTGTGCATTGATGTTCATACCGTCAAGGGGGCACGGTTGGCCCAGTCGTCTAAGGCGCCACGATTCGCTGTGCAGAGTTGCATCCCTTGGGCACGCCAGAAACCTATGGTTGAGGGTTCGGATCCCGGTTTGCCCCGATTATGTTTCTAGGTTTGTCAGCACCATA